AATATTCATCCCTCGTTTACAAAGAGGACCAATGAAATCATGGAATGATTTCTTGACTTGTGCATGAATTGGATTTAAGTAAGACAGTTGCATAAGGTCCTCAGCCTCACTCTTTCTTCTAGAGTCATTGAAGTCCAGTGGCAAGACATAAGTCAGGACAACTGGTAGTAGTCCAGGATGCAGTGGATGACCTTGGCATCTTTGATGTCTGACTAAGCTCTAAGAACAAATTGAAACAAATTGTTCTCCTCCACCCATTCTGCCAGAAGATAGCGGCATATGGCATATTCAGGGAGGACAAGCCCTCTGGTATGAGGGCTTGCTGAGCCTTTTTCAGGACTGTTCATACACCTTTGGTGTCCACCTGGCACTCAACTCTCTCTTGCAACTCCAAGAAGCTGTAGCATGTGCAGTGGCCACACCCCAGTAAACCATCTCTGCCAATGGACTAAACTAGGTTGAGGGTAACCAACAGGCCTCAAATCTTTCATTGAGTTAGGGGGATGTTCACCCCAAGAATGTGAGGACTCCCACCCTTTTTGGGGCTTAATCTCAGCATGAGAGATTTTGCCTCTCCCTCCTAAACTCTGTGCTTATTACCAATCTTTCAACTGCCCCGGCCCTCTCAAACACATTAAAAAAAAATTGTACACACTTCCCTTCTTTGAAGGCCAGAGAAAAATGAAAGAGAAAAAAAAAAAGCTAAAAAACTCCCTAGTCCCCAAACTCTCATTGATTCACAGATGAGTCAACAAATCTGGCCCTCACTTTCATGGTTTGTAATAAAAGAATGTTTAACACCATTTTGGCAAGTCATTCCCTGTTTAAAAGACATAGCTCTGCTCCCCAAGTTGTCATTGTTCTATGGTCCAAATGGGCTTGTCCAGGGATCTCACATTTTCCCATTTTCCTGTAAAAGTTTCCAACAAAGTCATCACCCAAGTGTAACTCCTGTGTTCTGGCAAAAGATACTCTCCCCATAGAAAACTACAGCATGTCCATTGATATTTTTCAGACCTTTATTCAATTACCACTTTGGTATGACAAACACTTGTTACATGCCCACTATATGCAGAATGTTGTGCAAGGTGGTAGGGGCTAGGGTGGGGGGAAAGTGAGGAATGAGGCAAAGTTTCAGAACACATGTGCCTTCACCTCATGGAGCTTTTAGTCTAGTAGAAAATATGACATGTATACACATTACTATTCCACAGCACCCGGGGAGAGAGGTAATCACTAATAGGCTGTCTTGTGTATTGGATATAGAGCACTGGACTGGGAGTCAGGAAGACGTAAATTCAAATCCCACCACAAGACCTCTACTGTGTGATACTAAACAAGTCCCTCAACCTTTTTGGGACTCAGTTTCTTCATTTGTAAAATGAGGAGAGTGGATTTGATGACCTCTAAGGTCCCTTTTACCACTAAATCTATGATCTATCATCTCCAATAGATTGACCTATCATTCCCACTCACTCGCTTATCTTTAATCTCTCCATGTCTACTGGCTGCTTCTTTACTTAATGCTCACAGACATGTCTCATCTATCCTCAAAAACCCTCACTTAATCAATCTATCCCCATCAGCTATTATCCCATCTGTCTCTCCTCCCTTTTGTAGCCAAGCTCCTTGAGAAGGCCACCTACAGTAGGTTCGTCTACTTCCTATTCCCTCACTCTCTTCTTAACTCTCTGTGGCCTGGCTTCTAACCTTATCATTCAACCAAAACAGCCCTCTCAAAGTTACCAAAGGTCTGGTCTTTTCTCAGTCGTCATCCTTCTTGACCTCTCCATCACCCTCTTCTCCTTGATACTCTCTTCTCTCTAGGTTTTCCTGGTTCTGCCCCAACGTGTCTGACCACTTCTTCTCAGCCTCCTTTTGCTGGATCTTCATTCAGATTACACCCACTAACCATGGGTATACTCAAGGATTATATTCTGGGCCCTCTCTCTCTTTCTCCCACTATACTATTTCACTTGGTGATCTCAACAGCTTCCATAGATTTAAGCTGGTGGTTCTCAAATCTACTTATCCAACCCTAACCTCTTTCTAGCCTTCAGATTAGGAAATCCCATCTCCAACTGCCTTGAACTGGATCTCCTATGCATACTTTAAACTTACAGGTCCAAAACTAAACTCATTATCCCCCTTTCCCCCCAGACTCTCCCCTATTCCTAACTTCCACATTACTGTTGAGGGTACCACCATCCTTCCAGTTACTCAAACTTGCAACCTAGGTATCATCCTCAACTCATCATTCTCACCACCTACTCTCTTCCCCATATCCGATCTGTTGCCAAGGCCCATTGAATATACCTTTTTAACCTCTCTTGCATATGACCCCTTCACTGCTCGGACACTGTCACAGCCCTGGTATAATTCCTCATTACCTCACTCCGGTACTATTTCAGTGGTCTGCTGGTTGGTTTCCCTGCCAATAGTCTCTCCTCACTCTAGTCCATCATCCACTTAACTATCAATAATCCTTCTGAAGTAAGGATCTGACCACATTACCCCCACCCAACCCTCACTCAATAAACTCCAGTGGTTCCCTATCACCTCCAGCATCAAATATAAAACCCTCTATTTGGCATTTAAAGCCCTTCATAACCTGCAAACACCCCCTCGCCCCTCACTTTTCTAGTCCTCTTACACTACACTCTCACCCCTACCTACATCTGTTCCCTCTCTCCTCTTCAGGGGCCTCTTTGCTGTTCTTCAACAAGAAATTCCATCTCCCAATTCCAGGCATTTTTACTGACTGTCCTCCATGCCTAGGATGCTCTCCCTCTTTATTTCCACCTTCTTATTTCCTGGTTTCCTTCAAGTCTCAGCTATAATCTCATCTTCCACCAGAAACCTTTCCTGATCCTTCTTAATTCTAGTGCCTTCCTTTTATTGATCATTTTCAGTTTATCTGGAATATAGCATGTTTATACATAGTTATTTGCATGTTGTCTCTTTCATTAGACTGTGAGCTCCTTGGAGCTTTTTTTTTTTTTTTGCCTTTCTTTGTATTCCTAGCACTTAGCATAGTGCCTGGCTCATAGTAACTAATAAATATTTCCTGATTGATCCTGAGAATTATGGGGGATGTGAAGGGAGAGAGACCAGAGAAGGTTTCATGGAAGAGATTTCATCTGAGTTGGGCCTTAAAGGATAGATAGGAATTCAATATACGGAGAACAAGGAGAAGGCTGCATTCCAGGCATAAGGAAAAGCATGAACACAGGCACAGAGGTGGAAAATACAAGGTGTGTACAGTAGACAAGGAATAATCCAGTTTGTGTAGAACATAGAGCACATATTGGGGGGAAATAGCATGAAATAAGGTTAAAAATTAGTCTGGTAACAGATCATAGAGGTCCTTGAATGCCAGGATGAGGAACTTGGCATTTAGGTAATAGGGAGCCAGTATAAGACCTCTAGAACTAAAGTGATATAATCAGATTTGTGCCCAAGGTAAGCTAATTTGGTCAAAGATGGGGGAGTAAAAATTTCACTTATGACAGTTATTTATTTGAGCTTCTGGGTGGTCATTCACTTTCTGGGCTTCATATATTCCACCCCTTCCCTTCCCAAAAATGTCATTTAAGTAAAATCAGAGATAGAAATTCATGGTCATAGAAACTTAAATATTCAAGCATGTGAGAGGGGTAGTTATTATACTTAATTGCCCCAATGTAACCACCTGCTGGAGGGTACAGTGAAAGGTGGGAAAGAAAGGTAAGGTTTAAATACCAGAGTCACTGTTTAGATGTCAATATCAAATCCCACAGAGAGGGCACATGAAAGGTTCTTAGTCTTTGTATTCTTATGCTTCTGGACATCATTTAGTTTTGTTTTACCTTTCCCCTTAATTCCAGAATAAAGCTTTTTCATCCTGAAAGACTGGTTGAATTAAAAGGAGTTTTTCCTGAGAGAATAAGGGGGAGAAATTCAAAATATCTTGAGTGTTTGGTGAAAACTGACATCAGCAGCAAACATAAGGAAGAGGCGCTGATGGGAACCAGCTTTGGAATATGACTGGTAGAAATTTCACTCAGACATTTCTTTGCATGCTGTATATTAATTGGATCTCAAAGCACTTTAAGATGTTTTTTTCCACAGTGGACTTAGCTGACAAAGAAATTGTGGTTAAATATATACTCATTATTACTATAGGTAAAGTGAAGCTAGAAGAGATGAAATGACATTGGAAGAACAGTTAGAGTAATGAGATGAGAGCTTGGTAACTTGGACTTCCAGCCTTTATTTTATTAGCAGACCTGTCATATTTCATTTTGTTTCTACAACACCTATCAGAATGTCTTCACAGGCAGCTTGGCATCACTGGATCACTGGATTTGGAGTCACAAGACTGGCTCCAAACCCCAGCTCTGATACAAGCTAGACTGTGTGACCATGGGCAAATCCCTTTACTGCTCTGATTCCTAGTTCCCTTCTGCATAATGGAAATGGTAATGCTCCCAATACATAACCTCAGTAGGTTGTGAGGAAGGAGCTTCAGAAAGGCCTGTGTAAATGCGAGTTGTTGTTATTATTGCACACAATAAGCAGTTAATTGTTGCATGGCCTTTATTCAGTGGAACATAATAATACCAAGGGGTGTTTTTAACAAAGTATTTTCTTGGGTGCCTGTTTCTGTATCTGCTTCCTTTCCCTTTCATTATCAAATGAGATAATATTTGTAAAACTAAGTTTATCACAGTGCCTGGCACATAGTAGGTACTTAACATATGCATATTCCATTCCTTTCAACACCTCCTCTTCTGTTGTTATGGTGAAGAAAAAAAGGCCCCTGAAACTCTCATTAAAGTGCCGATTACTGACTCTCTTACAATCTCCTGTTTTGGAGAATTTTCCTTCCCTGTTTTCTTCTACACTCCCTTATAGCCCCTTTCTATGGCATGGTTGTACATTTCTGGCTCAGTGACCAAACCGTTCCTGAATGACCTCTCCCCCAGGTGATTCATAGCCCTGTCTTCTTTTTCTTTCAGGGATTCCGATTTGTTTCTGCTTGACAGTCGAACTGTCTGGGCTACGGAGGAGGGTTGGCTGGTATTTGACATTACAGCCACGAGTAATCACTGGGTGGTGAACCCACAGCACAACCTTGGCCTGCAACTGTCAGCGGAGAGTCTAGATGGTGAGTTCCAAGGTCTGTTGTCAGCAGCGAGAGCCCGAGTGTGCATCGAAGAGCTCGAGCCCAGACTAGTTTTAGCACAGCCGATAATCATCTACTTAAGTGGAATCTTTTGAATGCATTAAGAGGCAAGATTTTTTTTTCCCCCAAACAGCTGCAGCATTTTGAGTAGGAGTAGAAAGCAATTTCCCCTCTTTTTTCTAGATTAAATAAAAGAATAGAGATTTAAATAATCACTGGTTTATGCAAGAAGAGCCTTGCTTTTGACCCTTGATTTTTTTAACTTGGGATGAGGGATGAGTTAGGGAGGCAGAGGATGGAGAAGAGAGGACAGGGAAAGCTGCAGAAGAACATTTAGAAGGTGCATGCCTTTCCATCCACCTCTTTCTCATAACATGGCAGTCTTAGCTAAAGGCATTCCATTTGCTAGGGTTCTTAACCCGGGGTCTATAAACTTCTTTAAAAAATGTTTTTAATAACCATATTTCTACATAATTGGTTTCCTTTGTAATACAACAGGTTTTATTTTATGCATTTAAAAACATTATTCTGAGAAGGGGTCCATGGGCTTCATTAGAAGGCCAGAGGGGACCATGGCCCAAAATAGGTTTAAAACCCCTGATCTATATTTATTTAAAAACCCCGATTTTTAAAGGGGACAAAAAAAGGCCAAGTACTTGCCAAAATACAAATACTGACCAAAGCAATCTAAAATCTCACTCACAAGGATTTATTGACTGTTTGCCCCCAACCCCACCACAAATCTGACGGTGTGAACAGCTTTCTGCAGTATTCATCTCCTCTCTCCCAACCCCTTCCCCCCCACCCCCCAAATAAGAGTACTGGCATTTAGGCATAAGGAATCAATGTTCTCTCTACCTCCTTTGGAAAAAGTAGAGCGAGAAGGCCGTCTAGTAGAATCCCTGTAAACACTTTGCCATGAGCTGATGAGGCAAACCAGTTGTGAGTAGGATGTAGGTGGGGCTGGTTGCATCAGTCACTCCTCCCAAGAAAATGTATTTCCAATTAAGCTGGGATGGTTCCCAGGCTTATGAATGTGTATGTTTTCTCTCTTTCTGTTCTGCGGTGCTACAGGGCTTGATCCTGTGGTGCTGCTCAGCAGCGGTTATCCTGAATGAGGTCCCCAGGATGATGGTGGCCAGGGTTATAGGGGAGACTGGGGGCTTTGGAGGGGTTAGGAAGCAGGCCCACTTTGCTGCCAGACACTACTTCTAAGTAGCTTTTCAAGTTCACTGATTCTTCCTGCCTGTGCCCCTCCCGTTTAGGAGCCCAGTGAAAGGGTAATGGGCAACTGAGGAGAATTTACCTGGGGTGGGGGATAGGAATATTGGGCTTGGTTCTTGGAACTGCAGCTATTAATTGTTGCTGAATGTTTAATTGGGCCAATAGCATTTTGGATATTCCATTTTTTTCCTCTATCAAGTCTCAGTTCTGAAGGAGGGGTGTGTGTGCGTGTGTGGGGGGGTTTGGAAAGTACCTAATTCTCCATAAATGTAAAGCCATCCAACCCAGTCATGTATTGGACAGAAGGGAGCCCCTGTGAAGTTCTGGGATTATTCTCCAGCAGTTCATTTTGAGTAAGTTCTCTTAGCTGAGGAGGAGCAAGAAAAATCTTGTGTGGAGGAAATAGTAGCATCTCAAATATATGGGATATTTTCCCCCCTCCCCCAAAAAAAGCAACAACAAAAAACCAAATCCCCAAACCCACCCACAACAAAAAACAAAAATCAGTGCTTGTCCTTCTGAGTATAAACTATAGGCAGTAGTCTTTGACTTTTGGGAGATGAATCTGAAGCACAGACAGGTTATCGTTCAAGCATCAAACAGCCCAGCTGAGAGGAAAACCACCCACCTTGTCATCGGAGGCATATTGAATTGGATGGTGTCTCCACTTCTGCTACATTTCTGGAAGAGGACATACCACAGGGGCTTACTCATAAGCTTCCTAGATGCCCCAGTGAGATCTCTTCACTGTGGTCATGTATAATCCCCTTTTAGGATGGGACCTGGACCCATAGGAAGAAATAAGTTCCTTTCCTGGCCCAGATTAGCCCTTAGGTTTCATCAGTTCAAGTGATTTGTGAGAGATAAGCCTACATGCTTTCCTTATCAGAGGACTCACTCCTTTGATGTTCTAGAGATCAGCAATAGGCCCTTTGAATGCTTGGACACAGAGACCTGGCTCAACTCAGCTCCTGCTTAGGCTGTTTAGCACTCAAACTCAGGAGAGCCAGGGCAAAGCTGGTTAGACCAGAGACAAGCAATCCACTCAGGCCTGGAGGTTTTGTTCTCTGCCAAGCCACTAAGGGTGGGGGTGAGGATGAAGAAAGAAATGGCTCATCATCCTTGTATCTGCTATAAATTCTGTTTTCTTTATTTGAAAAAAAAAAAAAGGATTTGACAAGAGACTGGTGGGCCCAGTGCCTGCCTGAATTAGGCCACTTGGAACTTCTTAGACTGATGGGCATTGGGTTTTTCTGCCTTCTCCTGTGGGCTGGTCAGAGATCCTGAAGGAGATGCCGCCCAAATGGACCTGATCCAAATAGCTGTTGCTCCTTCCTAGGCTTCTGCCATTCTGGGTGGATCCTTGCCTTACTCTCTGGCTAAAGGCACAGCAGATATGCTACCAGCTCTGTGAGGGTACAGGTTTGGCTGGCCAGGGGAAACCCTGATCCCAAAGCTTGCATTGGAATTCGGAAAGGGTAAAGAGAGAGAGAGGGGATGTTTCTTACGCTCATTTTGTACATACTAGCTCTAAGAAGCCTCAGTTTACCCCAAAGTACAAAATGAGGGAACTGGAACTGACATAGCTTAAAGCATTCAGCTAATTTTTTTTTGTGTGTGTGAAAGGAGAAAAAAGCCACTTTTATTGATATCCAGAGAGATCAGCTACTTTTCCTAAGACTGTGTCTGGAGTCAGAGAACTTGGGTTCAAATGCCATTCTGATACATGTTACCTGTGAGATTCTGGGCAAGTCATTTGGCCTCCCTTGGCCTCTGTTTTGCTAACTATAAAATGGAAAGTTAGACTAGAAAGTTAGGCCTCTGAGGTCCCTTCCAGATCCATGTCTATGATGCTATGATTCCATGACATAGCAAGTCCACATGCCCGCTCATATGGGAAGGTGGGAATAGGGCATGGATTCCCTGATTGCTCATCTACCTGCCCACTCTATCAGACACGATGGCTTATGTATTCATGATGCACAGAGCACATCTCTTCTATCATACACTGTGAAATTAGGAAATCCGAATGACCAACATGTATTAGAGAGGAAGCACAGTCCATGTGTTATGTGTCCAGAGGAAGTGTGTGGTTGGAATACTGTATCATCTCCTGAGTGATGCTATTATTAAAGATGGAATGACTTTCTTTCCTTTTGGAAGAGAATGCAACTATAAAAAATTAGTTCTCCCTTTCCTCCCCCTTAATAATTGGAATAATGGAATGAACAAATCAATCAGTCAGTTAATAAGTATTTATTAAGCATTTATTTATTATGCATTAATTAATAATGTACTAACAAGCATTAATGATTAAGTATTTAGTGAAAACTATATATTCTTGGGCTAGTGACATTTTTTTCTTCTCGTATAATAGGTTGCTTTGCGTAGATACACAGAGCACCCAAATAGCAGCAACCTTGTGTATAGCCATAAAATTGATTCAAATAACTGCTTCTTATGACCAAGAAAAGAGGCTCATAATTAGGTTGGTATGAAAATCTGGGAATCTTTTAGCCCAGAGCTTAAGGAATAAGGCAATATTCCCTTCCCTGTTGTGCTAGGAATACTTACACCTGAAACCTTCCTGGGGATTTATAACCACCCAGTTCTTGAAATCAAATCACTTACAACCAGACTATTGTGGGCAGCCCTGCCTGGCCAAAATGGTAGAAAGGAACAGCAAATATCTGTGTAGGGGGCCTGGTGCTGGTTACCAAGGGAGGATGCAAGAGAAGTAGAAAGCTGGTCCTTGGTTTAAGTTTGGCATGGATCAACCAGTCGGCACATAGAGCTCATCCTTCCTTCATCCTTCTTTAGTTCTCTGGACTAATTTTGTAGTGTGGTGGGAAAAGTGCTGGGTATGGAATAAGAAGACCTAGTTTAAAATCCTGACTGCTACTTATTCCCTATTGTGACCACAGACAAGTTACTTAACATCTAAGGGCCTTAGTTTCCCTATTTGTAAAATGTCGGAGTGGGTAGGATTAGATGACATCTGAGATTTCTTTACATTCCAAATCTATGGTCCTGTAATCTAGGAGCTTATTAGGTATAAAGGGGGCATTTCGTCTTTGCTGCCCTCCTTCAGTTCTTATCTGAAGAAAACTACCTGGAAGCTAATTTCTACTCCACCAAAATAATACAAGAAGAACAGCAAACAAACAAACAGTAGTTCTGGGATATATCTTTCCTGGCATGTCAATACCTAGATAATAAGACTTCTTCTGACTTTCTGAGACTAAGAACAAGCAGAGCTTGATTCATTTTCATCTGTGAGGAAGTTGGATGTTAATAGGTAGTCATGCTATGTCCTGAGACAATGAAATCAGCATGGTTTGTTTGAACCAAAGTTCTTGCTTCAGATTAGAACCTTCTTAAATTTATTGAAAGCAAACTCCTGTTTCCTAAAATCAAGTTGGTTATGGATATTTGTCTTGGAGAATGGGAGTCCAGTGGAAATAGCATTAAATTTGGAGGTAGAGGACGGGAATTTGAATCCTACCTCTTTTGATTGCTGCTATCTGTATGATCTTGGGTGAGTCATTTCCTCTCTATGATCCTACTAGTTTCCTTATCTGTAAAATGAAGAAGTTGGACTCTATAACCTCTAAGGTCCTTTCTAGTTCTAAATCCTATGGTCTAGGGTTATTGTTTTGATCTAGAGATGAAGAAAATTCTAGAATGGAGTCTTTATATATTGACTTTCATTTACAAAACTTTTAAGCACTGAGGGTTGCCCCTTCATTTATATAATCAGAATTTCCCTTTGCATTCTTTTGGTTTTCATGCTGTGGCAATGCGAACCTGGACCTGCACTCTGTGGAGAAGAATCCAAAGACTGAAAGGACGTACCTAGCTTTGAAAATGATGAGAATGTTGTGAATAGTGGCCCTGAATGGATTTCTTTTAAAAGATAGATTGGACTTGAGATCAGACGAAGACCACTGTTACTAGACCACCTGACAGCTCGCCAGGTGACTGGGGAGAGGCAAAAAGGAGGGAGAGACAGAGAGACTGACAGAGAGGGAGGGAGGCTGATGGGACAGAGATTTCGGGGGGGGCGGGTCACTTTGCCTATGACACTTTGCCTATGATTAGATGACTCTCCCCCCAACTCTTGTGTCTGGAATTTAGGATTAGCAATGTGGGTACTCTCTGGGAGAGATGGCTATGCCAGAATGTACAGGAAATTCCCCCAGAAACACAGCATAATCAATGATCTTGCTGGACTCTGAGTCTTGGGATAGTCCTCCATGATGTCAGAGATCTCTGAGGGAATGCTGGTAATCTTTGGCCTCCAGATTTTGTCTTTCCTCATACATATGACTGTGATATTGATATGGATGAATGAATATTATCTCTTCTCTGTTTTCATTTCCTTCAGGAGAATAAAGTGGTAAACTGAGGTGGGAATGGTAGACCCAAGAGCTATTTGAGTCTTGATACTATGTTTTATTATCTTTCTATTTCATGTAGCAAATGTATTTGAAATTCTAATATGAATGCATTTTCTTTTGGGTTATGCAAAGTGAGGAAGATGATGAGAGTCTTAATAGAAAATTAGGAATCAGGTATGAGCACCAAGCCATAGTTGGAGATTTTTCTCCAAAGAAGTCCAGGTAGGGGTCTATTGGACCAAAAAAGTAATATGTCTCTGAGTTATAGGCAAATGTTTATTTTATATTTTAAAACCCTAGACTTCAACTGGTGCAGAGGTTCTTAACCTTTTTATGTTGCCATTTTCTCCTCTGACATTTTGAGTGAAGCCTATGGGCCCCTGCTCAGAATACTGTTTTTAAATGCATAAAATAAGATACATAAAATTACAAAAATTACATAAGATTACAATGACACTAAAATGCAGTTTTCAAAATTCAAAAACAACAACAATAACTAGTTCATGGACCCCAAACCTAAAAGAACCTGGGTCAAGCTGGGGATACCTATCTGCAGCCACGGCATCTATCCGGAGCTGGGAGACAAGAGACCCTTTGGGACACCTACCTACCAAACAAGTGGGGCATAGTCTAATCCTACCTATTTTTGCATGGGTGAATAAAAACCATCATTCTATGTCATTGCTTGGAAGTCTTTTGTTGTTGTTGTTGTTGTTGTTGTTAGGAAAAAGAAAAAGGAATGAAGGAACAACTTGAAGCCAGATAGCTCATCTGAGAGAAGTTTTTTTTCAACCCACATTCTTCAGTTCCTTTTATCTTCCGAACTGGCCTCTTCTTTAGTGGGTAGCCCCTTGGTCAGTGTTGATTCCTGTCAAAAATCACATCGGCAGCTCGCTACAGCTTTGCTCTCCACTGTCTGCCACATTCATTGTGCAAAATCTCTTTGTAGACCAAACATTTGATCTGCTTCCGGAAGGTTATTTCCAGTAAAGAGCCTTGTACATATCTTCATTGCTGTGAGATAGCATTAACTCTGCTCCCTCATAATCACCCCAGCTTGGAATTCAAAAATAGGAATTAAGGCACTTAAAGAAGAATTTGTTATTCTTAAGTTTGGTTAAGCTGAAGCAACTGAGTAGAGAAACAGTGGAGTGATTCATTAGCTGGAGGCATTCTCCCAAACTAAGCCCAGTAATAGGCTGTACCGACAGTACCTATGAGCAGCAGCTGACTACTTGAGTCTCCTTAGTCCATTTCTTATTGCTTCATATCCTGTTTGTCTCCTTTGTGAAGACAAAGGAGAAAATGAAATGGGTCTTAAGATAGAGACAGTGCCCGATGATCCAAGAGCTCAACATACACGGGTGACCAAAAAATCTGTTGGTGAATTAGTGGTAGGGAAAATGTCTTTAAAATGGAACTTCTTTCTGGTTTGACATTTAGTCCATGCTTGCATGAAGAAATTGAGATAAATGATTGCAATGAATAATTTCCACTGTTATGTTCCTGAGGAATATCCCTGCGGGCATGGGAGTTGTTTGAGGTACCACCCATATTGAACAAGAAAGTGGTATCCTGAGAAAAGCCACCCTCCTGGGGTTGAACCCATCATCCTCTTTCCCTCAGTGCCTATTAGTGAGTACCTTCTCCTTAAGATCTCTCTTTAGCCTTCTTATAGACCATGAGTCCTGTTTTCATAAATGCCATTCATATTCTCTGAGAGAGCTAGTCACTGTCTTGTGTACTTGTCTCCCTATGTGTACACTACTATATGTACATAATACTTTGGGCAGTTAAAAAAAGTTAATAATAATAGCTAATTGCTAGCCTTTATACAGTGCTTTTAGGTTTGGAAAGAGCTTTACATATTGCATTTGATTTGATACTCACAAAAATCCTCTGAATTTGGTGCTGTTATTATCCCCACTTTATAGATAAGAAAACTGAGGCTCAGAGAAGTTAAATGAATTGCCAAGGGTTACACCACTAGTTAAGTATCTGAGGCAGGATTTGAATTCAGGTCTTCCTGACCCCAAATACAATACTCTATCCATTGCCCATCCAAGTCCATCCATTCCATCCACCTAAAGGTAATAAATAACAGGCTTTTCTTAGCTGTCTCATTAAATTGAAGATGGTTTTGAATACCACCATGTTGGTCATATGTAAATCTGTAGCCCCCTACAGTGCTTCTCACAGTTCTCTTGAATGTAGTAGGTGTTTGATGAAGAAGATCCCTAGAGCCCATGCTTTGTGACTTGCTACAATTTGTTCAATAGAAGAAAAGAGGGGAAGGGCACTGGCCACGTTAAGAGTGACACAAATTGTATAGGAAACAACAGAGGCAGGAATATACATGAGGCATGTATATTATATGTCAGTTGTGGCTTTGGTCCCAAGGGCCTATTCTCTAACTGGTTTTTTAGCCCTCTGGTGACTTTTTTTCCTCCATCAACCATTTACTGACTGAAAATATGTCCCTCCCTCGAAGATGGACACAGCCAACAATGATTTCTTATCTTGGTTGGCATTGTTTGACCCAAAGAGATCTATTGTTCAAAGGCATGGTTAGTTTTTTCAGGACCCAGAAATGCTCCCTCCAGGATTAGGAGAAGATTTTGTCCTCAACAGACTGAATGTGATGTGCAAGTGACATTCTTAGTGCTTCCTCCACTGGGCCTCAGAAGTCCTGAGATCTCCATCATCTTCAAACGTGGCAGTGAGAAGGACTTGAGCCCTCATTGGCTCATCACACTTCCACAACCTAGAGGCATGGGGTTTTTCCAGACTTGAGTACTGTTCTTGACATCTACACAATAACCAAACTACCTCCAGATCAGACCTGTAGATGGAAACTGTTTGCAAATTTCAAATTTAATATATCTGGAACAGTGTCAAGGTTTCATGCAAGGCATTTTTATTTTGACTTAATAACCTTCCAGGGGGAATTTACAGTTCCTAGGGGCTACATTTTATGGTTTCTTTTATAGAATCACTTCAAATTATAGGTTGGTGAACTTAAAGAAACCCCTCTAAAGAATGCAGAAAAATCTAACGTTGAGTGGATTTAAGGTAAAATAATTATGGATGGGGGAGTTTTATTTTAAACACAGGTTTTAAAGAAGTCTCTTGTGCTGATCTGTTATTTTAGGGGATGGGATTTGTCCAGTTTCTAAGTCTGATGTATTAGATTCCAAGCAAAGTTAATTACATATATATACAATGATCACTGCATTTTCTTTATAAAGTCCTTTTACTGTTGTAACCAGGCCTGGTTATTTGTCAGCTTCTTATTGTGTTGGCATGGCTGTGGATCTTGATCCTGTCTTCCCCTGGTGATCCTTCTCTGTGTATGTTTGATATCACTTCAGGACAAAGCATCAATCCCAAGATGGCAGGTCTGGTTGGAAGAAATGGTCCCCAGAACAAGCAACCATTCATGGTAGCATTCTTTAAGGCCACAGAAGTACATCTTCGTAGTATCCGGTCTACAGGAAGCAAACAACGAAGCCAAAACAGATCAAAGACACCTAAGAACCAGGAAGCTTTGAGGATGTCCAATATTGCAGGTATACAGATGGGGAAAGGGGACTAGTAATAGTTAACGAAATTGTCATTAACTCTTCCCCACCTCCCAAAAACTCTCTAAAGTGCTGGACAGGAAGCTAAGCAACAATGCTATAGATAGAGGGAGGAAGCAAACTTAGATTGTTCTGTGTTGTGAGGGATTCAGTTTAGGCATAGGGTTAAAAAAGACTTTTATAAGGGTAAGTTGATATACTATATGTGTTGATGAGAGACTTAAGAATATTAGGATGTAGGGCCATAGCTTTAAAAAATAAGACAGTCTCTATTTTTGGATGATGGCTTAGATATATGTCATTGTGGGGTCAGGACTCCATGCATTTGGCCTAAATGACCTCCCATAGTTCATTTTAGCTGATGGGATGCTATAAATGTTATATCCTTCCTGTTCCTTTCGGTGTTAATTGTGTGATTTCTCTGCTAAGTCACTTTGAAAAACTTTTCCAGGTCCTTAGAAAGGCATTAAAAAAAAACTCTTCATGTTTGTTAATAATGGGCCATGATCCATTTTATCAGTTAAAAATAGTATGCATTTGTAGAAATACAACAATAGAATGGCAAAAAGAGTTGAAATTGCTCTCCCAAAGGGACCTCATAGATCAATTAGTCCAATTGCCTTCATAACATGATCACAGAATCTGGAATTGTAAATGACCCTGGAGACCATCTACCTATTCACATAGTCACCACTCCTATACAGGCCCTGGGCAACTCTCATTTGGAGTATTGAAAGAGCCTTCTAATTGGTCTCCTTGCCTCAAATTGCTCCCAATCCAGTCTATCCTCCACTCATCTGCCAAAGTGATTTTCCCTAAGCACAATTCTGACCAGGTCTCCAAACCACTCCCCCTCCCCCCAACTCAATAAACTCCATTGGCCCTCTTCCGGATCAAATATAAAATCCTCTGTTATTTAAAGCCCTTCGTAGCCAGGCCCCTTCCTACCTTTCCAGTCATCTGACACTTTTGAACTCTATATATACTCTGCAATTCAGGCACGTTATCCCACTTGCTATTCCTCGTACATGATACTCCATGTCCTGGCTCCATGTTTTTGTACAGTCTGCCCCTATGACTGGAATGTTCTCTCTCCTCACCTCTGCCTAGTAGCTTCTTGAAAGATCTAGCTCAAATGCTATTTTCTTCAGGAGTCTTCTCCAACCCTCCTTCCTCCCAACTGCTACTAGTCTCTCCCCTCTGAGATTACTTTGCATTTATACTGTATATATCTTGTGTATACAGAATTATTTTAATTTTCTCTTCCTCACTGGAATGTGAGTGCATTAAGAACAAGGGACCTTGTTTTAGCCCTTTTTTTCATACCTTCCCTGTACTTAGGCCAATGCCTGGCATAGAATAAGCACTTAAATTCTTGTTGATTGCTCAGTCTTGTCCAGCCACCTCATTTTATAAATGAAGAAATTGAAATGCAGAATTGGGAGATAACTTGCCCAAGATCTCACCGGTATACTGGCTGGGCTGAGACTAGAACTCAGATCTTCAGACTCTTATCCTAAGGATCTTTCCATTATACCCTGGCAGCTTCCCTCCCAGAAGTCAATTCTATTTAACTTGATTTAAATGTTTATCTGGTGATAAGGTAGGGAAGCAACTGAGGCTATAATTAACAGCTGCTTGTGCTGGAGGTCTGAGCTGAACTGACCAAAAACATTCCCCCAAGAGCTCTCTCTGGCAGAGTATCAGGCCTTGTGGAAAATATAAGGCAGGGCTCAAGAAGGAAGAGGACACATGTGCTTCTTATAAACCCATGGTCTAGGAGACTGTGAGACCATGGAAAGGAAGTAACAATTGAATTTGAGCTGGAATTAACCAAATCCTGTTAGTGACATCCTTTGGGCAATTATTTAATGCTGTGATTTTTTAAAGTTATGGCATTTATTTAAAAATATATTGTCTTTTGTTTTTATGTCCCATTTCTTTTCTGGTGTACCTCCCTTCCTCCCCTGCCCCTCATGCCCAGTCATTGAATCCTCCCTTTTAACACAGAAAAAAGAACAGTTAAGCAAAATCAACCACCAAACACAGCAGTGACTAAGGTATCTGACAGGATATGCAACACTCCATGTCCTCCACAGAACAGCGGGAAATGAGTTTCATTATCTGTTCCTCTCCAGCCTTCACTGGTCGTTAGAATTAATCAGTTAAAGTAGGTCTTAGCATTTTCTTTTCATTTACATTATAGCTATCATTGTATATATTGTTCTCTTAGTTCAGTTTTCTTCCTTCTACATCAGGTCAAGCAAATCTTCCCATGCTTCTCTGGATCCCTCATATTCATCATTTCTTAGCATGCAATTACATTCAGATATGACAATCATTCAGCCTCTTCCGAGTTGATGGGTACCTACTTTGTTTCCAGGTTTGCTACCACATAAAGCGCTGCTATCAATATATTGGTGTATATATAGGGTATTTCCTTTTCTCTTTGACCTCCTTAATCTATATGAGAAGTAATGAGATCTCTAGGTCAAAGGTTATGAAGAGTTTAGTGACTTTTCCCCTAATTCCAAACTGGTTTTCAGAATGGTTGAAGTAATTTGAATTTATCAGTGGCATCTGGGTTCTCTCTTATTTGTCTCCTTATTTATCTTAAGCATCTGTCAGCTTTTTTTGGTGTCATTTCCAGTGCAAAAATTATTCCCCTTGGCAGAGAATGTAAGAATTGAGCAGCTTTTCTTTCCTTCTATTATCATCTATCCTTGTTCTGTCCACCTCCAGCAGCTCTCCAGTCCACCCTTGGACCGTCCCTTTTCTCCCAATATGACCGAAAAAAAGATCTTTCCCCTTTTTGTTGTCTTTGTCTAGCTTCAGCTTATTCTGTGCTTTAGCACTTTTGATATCAGTTTTACAGTATTATGTTCTTAGACTTATTATTCTTTGTTAGCTGTCCTTGCTTGTTCATTAAGTGACTACAGTACCTGACACAGTGGCCATTTCTAGATGCTTGTTTGAGGGATTGATAGCTTCTACCTTCTGTACGTATCTTTTTCATAATCTAAGTTGGTTAGGAAGTTTTCTGTGTATTCACAGTAGTCTTTTCATATAACTTCCATTTTTTCCCCTCCCATAGGAATTGTTTCCCTTTATGTCTTCAGAATTTCTTTTTTTAGAATTTCCCATTCCTCCCAAACTGACTTCCTCTGTAGAATTTTAGTCTGTGAGTTTCTACCTATCCTTCCTCAGAACCCCTCAAAGTTTTCCACCAATTGTAGCCCCTTGTGTGTTTCTCCCTGCTAGTGAGAATCAGGTTCAGAATAGAATTTTCTTTTGTTGTTTCCTCCATTTTTTTTCTTTTTGGTAAGGCAATCAAGGTTAAGTGACTTGCCCAGGGTCACACAACTAGTTAAGTGTCAAATGTCTGAGGCCAGATTTGAGCTCAGGTCCTCCTAACTCCAGGGCCAGTGTTCTATCCATTGCGTCACCTAGCTACCCTTGTTTCCTCCATTTCTGCATTATAAACTTAACCAGAGGCTGATTACACAGGTTTCAGACTAGCCGGGCTTCTTGCTTCTTGCTTCTTGCTTCCTCCTTTTTCTTCTCAGCTGTCAATTAGGCATCTCCACTAGGAGAAAAACATGAATCTTGAACTAGTCATCTTGACTTTTTATCTGCTTGGACCAGGAGTTTGAGGGAAAAGACAAAGTGAACAAATCTAAAGGACTTTGGATTTTCATCATCCAAGTATCCTCCATTACTAGTAGAGAATTTGGAATTTTTATTTTCCTAGATCATCCAAGTCCCACATGTGCCCTACCCCCCAGGTGTATAGAATACCTGGCTAATTGGCTGTCCTGGTAACTTATGACCAGTGTCCTTGATTGGCTTGAACAAATGAATAACGTCTTTCCCTTCCTCAGATGGTACCCTGTGAGGCCATAGGTGATGACTTTCATTTGGAAAGTCCTTGGTGCATCCCTGTTGCTCTTCATTGGCTTAAGTCCCTGCGGAGATACTCTGGTCTTGATAGTATGTGCCTGGTATCTTAAGTGGTGTCGCCGCACTCAGCCAACCATCACCATACACGGTCCTAAGCCTAACTAGGATGTGTCACGGGCCTCTACCCTAATCTGAAATAATCAGTTTGGTTTAAGCTAAAGCTACCACCACCAACTTGCCTACAAGCAACACTTTTTGCTGTAAATCTGATTCTTACAACTTTGCTGAGTTTGCAGCTGATTGATTAAGAACTTGTAGTCCTGGGATGAGAGAAGGAAGGGCTCCTTTGTTTCTCTATTCAGCATCAGACCACTCCTTAGGGGCAGTGGAGTCTATGCTGGGGAGAAGGATATGGTACATTTGATTCCCAGTGGTTTAGCCAGGTAAGGACAGATTCAATTCAGTCATGAAGTGCCTGCTGTGTGAGAGGCCGTGTTGTATTGTGGATGTTTGCCCATCTTGGAGTCAAGAAAGCTGGGTTCAAGTTGTGCCTCTGATACAAACTATCTATTTGGCTACAAATAAGTCACTTCAACTCTAAGACCTTTAAGTTACAGTAATTGCTAATTTGCATTGGTGGTTAGAGTTTCTGTGGCTAATAGTTCCTGTACCTAATAAGTCCCCGAATGGATGAAATCACACGTCTGGACAAAGGAGAAGGAGGAGGAGGAGGAAGCATAAAAGCATTGTGTATTGAGGATACAAAGATAAGACGTTATTTAGTCTGTGCCCTCAGTGAGCTCACATCCTACCTTTGCCTAATATCTAAGTTTTACAGACAGAGCTTAAGTAGGTCTCGGGTTCTGGAGTTGCTTAGAACCAGTTAGGAATAGTAGAAAGAACCCTGGTTTTTGATCCAGGGGACCAGGAGTCAAAACCTTGTGAAGCTTCTTACTATGTGTGAAAGTACTACATGTGCAAGTCACTTACTCTCTGGGCTTTAGTTACCTCATTTGGAAAATGAGGGTTTTTGACTAGATAACATCGAAGGTTCCTTCTAGCTCTAAATCCTATGGTTCTGAGGATACAGGAGCACCTAATGCTCAAGGAAGAGGATAGGATCAGATTTCTGATAATTATTGCATTTTTGTCACTTAATGCCTTTCTTTATTTCCTCTTTCCTTCCTACCTTCTCTTCCCTTCCCTTCCATATTCAAAAGGATCACAATCCATTTCCCATTAGAAATGTATATGCCCCTTTCCTTCTTTAAATTGTCCCCTAGATGGGATGTCCGTTATCAATGTTGGCTTAAATGTCCCATTTGAATGATTTGGGGAGGGTCATTATTCTGAGTTTCAGCACTGTTTGTCTCAAGTCCTTGTAACCTATCAGCCAAATTCCTGGTGACCCAGAAGGCTTGAATCATGTAGCCAAGGGAAGTCTCAAGGCCTTTCACCCAACCTCCCATATCGAGTTAGCTTTCTGTCCTCCTTGGTTTTTCTCTCTCTGGAATGTTAGAGTAATTGACTCCATAGCACCTTCAGAATTCTGCCAGCACATTCTGAAGGGGATTCATTCTGGGGGAAACAAAGACAGTAATTCCATTCCCCCTCACTCCCTCCATGGGACGGAACTAGTTTCTCTGCACGTTGGCTGGCCACACAAAGCAACATCCTTCCGAAAGAGATTATACTGAGAAAGGCTTCTGCAGCCTGCTGCTGGAAGCCAGATGGGGGTTTGATTATTTTGATTGAATCCATTCCCAATTTCACCACATACATACACACATACACACGTACATGCATATGTACATATATAAATACATGCATACATATGTATATGGTGAAATGAATGAATGAACTGAAATTCACATGAGGATTTGACAGGTGTTTTAAAGAATGTATGTGGAAAGGATGGTAGTGGTATGTAAGTACCTCCTTTCTTGGAACCTTCCTGTCAAACTGTGTCAGCAGTGGGGGTTGGAGACTTTTAATTAATGGGTCCCTAAAGACTGAACTTTCATTTGGGGAAATGGGTACTACTCCACTATCCAATCATTAAAAATATTCCTGTGTCTATGTGTTTGTGTCATGGTTGTGGCAATATAGTTGATATTGGGGTGTGTATTTTATTTTTGCCTCCTTTCCTGATTCAGAAAACAGTAGCAGTGACCAGAGGCAAGCCTGCAAGAAACACGAACTCTATGTCAGCTTCCGAGATCTGGGCTGGCAGGTAAGTCCATCAGGCCCAGTGCTGAGTGATCAGGGAGCCACAAGTAGCATTTTTGTGACCTCCATAGAGGGGAATCATATTCTACAGCTGAGTTGTATGGCCTATGTCCTCTGGCTTCAGCTTATCCCATGGATGGGCCATGATTCTGACTGATATGAATGTAGCCACAGGAAAAAAAATATTGAGTCTGTACTCCACTTGAGACAAGTGGCTTCTGTTCACTGGGGTGAGAAGTGTTATCTTTTGCAAAAGGAGGTCCTTGTGGACCATGTGGGTTGCTGGCTGTTGATGTAACAACAGCAACAATCCTGAGTTAACAAACATTAAGTACCCGCTATTTATGAGGGACTGCTAAAGGTATCAAGGAAAAGACCGATTGTGATCCCTGCTCTCTTGGAACTTCTAACCTAATGGGGGAGTCAGAACAAGTGCACATGAAATACATACACAACTCGTCAATAGAAATATGTAACCACAGCCTACCACTTAGGCCTCCCTAGAGCTGTCTTCACATTCTCTACCTCAGGGTCATGTGACCTGATGTAACAAGATATAAAAGAAGGTAATGATGAGAAATATTTGGATGAGAAATATTGCTCCCTTGAGAAAGGACCAAGACTTTACTGAATTCCATGTTATAGTGAAATGCCAATGGATTTGCTGATTGATGGAACCTTATAGTAATAACAATGATGAGGATGATAAAAATAATAGCTAGCATTTGTTAACTGTGCTTTAAGTTTGTCAGGTGATTTATAAGACATTTCATTTATGTAGGATTATGTGATGCTAGGTGGTACAGTGGATAGAGTGCCAGGGCTGGAGTCAGGAAGACTCATTTTTCCTAAGTTGAAATCTGGCCTCAGACACTTACTAGCTATGTGACCCTGGGCAAGTCACTTAATGCCATTTGCCTCAGTTTCCTCATCTGTAAAATGAGCTGGAGTAGGAAATGGCAAACCACTCCAGTATCTTTCCCAAGACAACCACAAATGAGGTCACGAAGAGTTGGACGTGACTGAAATGACTTAATAACAACGCAATTTCATTTGATCCTTAAAACAGCTCTGAAAGGCATGTGCTAGAGTCATTATGCAATAACATATGCAGAAGTGCTTTGCAAACCTTAAAGTTCTACATGAATATTATTATCCTCATTCTACGTATGAGGAAACTGAAGCTGGCCAAAACTGTGACTTGCCCAGCATTACAAGCTGTGAAGTAGATAAGCAGCATTTGAATTCAAGTCTAGTACTGTATTCCACCCCCTAGCAGTCCCACTTGTGGATTAGTGCTAGTCACAGAAGGGAGTGGTTTGAGATAATGTCAGAAAGGTATAGTGGTATTGGATTTTGGAAAGCCTTGAATCCCAGGCAAAGGAGTTGTAACCTTACTCAGCAAGTAGTAAGGAGCCACTGAAGAGTTACAGGATCATATCTAAGAAATATTATTCTGGCTGTATTTGAGGGATGTATTGGAAGGATAAAGAGTGGCTATGGGAAGACTCTTTAGCAGATTAATGCAATACTTCTGGAGGGTGACTTTCAAATTAGGGGAAGAGAGAACCCATTGTTCCAAGTGAGTGGGTGAGTTAAAGCTGGGGGTGAGGGGGCAAAGGCTTCAAGTTCAACCACAGAGTTCGTGCCAGTGGACAGCATCTGCTGGGAGACTCGGGTTCTGAGTGGCATTCCCAGCCCTCACTGGGAGATAGATGCAGAGAGTGTGCCCAGGCTTGTGTCTAGCCCAAGGTGATTTGCTCAATTGGAGTTGCTAAGATTCACTGCTATTTCAGAAATAAAAATGATACATATGTGGGTTATTTATTGCATACTTAACCTCACACTAGGAGCATGGGAAGCCAAAGAACATCTCCAGGAGCTCAGTCTAACTGGAGAGATGTTACAGACACATGAAACAATTAGCAAGAAATGCAAAAAATGTTATATCATTTAAGTATTGAGTCATGAGGCTCAGGGAAGAGGATGATTCAGCCCAATAGATATTTATTAAACACCTCTGCTGTGCAAAACACCATAATAGCACAGGGAGGGATACAAAGTTAAGGTATGGTCCCTATCCTTGTTGAGCTAATAGTCCAGCTTACTGGACTGGATATGATACATACATAAATATCATGTATTATTTTGAAGGTTAGTTAAAGTGCATGTGTTCATACACAATAATAAAATAATACAGCAATACAAATTAACTATGTGAGGTATGAGGGAACAATGATCATTTCAAAGTGGCGATGGGGGAGAACCAGAGAAGACTTCATGGGAGAGGTGACAGTTGGGATGGACTTGGAAGGATATATAGGAATTTAATAAGTGTAAGGATTGAAGAAGGATTTCTCTATAAAGAGACCAGTATTCAGCAAAGGCAGGAAAGCTTAGGTTGTGTTTAGGGGACAGTGAGTAGTCTAATGTGGCTAGGGCATAGAGTATATGGAAGGGAGCAATTTGAACTTCAGTTGGAAACATTTGTGGGAGTCCCAATGCCAAACTAAGGAACTTGAATTCTCTCCTGCTTAAAAGCCTCCAATGAGTCTCCATTATTTACAGAGTAAAGCCTTGGCCAGATCTGTACATTAGTAAGATGATTCTAACAGTGATGTGGCAGAAGAATTTGAAAGGGGAGAGAGTAGACGAAGGAAGACCTGTTAGGAAGTTGGTGAAACAGTCCCAACTGGTTGAAATAGGGCCTCTAGTAGAATTTTGGCAATAGAAATAGAGAAGATTGGGGAGCACATAAAAATGATTTCTGAGGTAGGAGATATATAATTTAGTAACTGACTGGAGGAAAGGTAAGGGAGAAGAATGAGTCAAAGACAACATGAAGGTTTCAACATAAAGGAGTGTGGTGGTGAAGGGTGACTTCATGGACAAAATGGGACTTGGGCTGAGCCTTGAATAATGAGAGCTAAGTTTTATGTAGTGCTTTAAGGTCTGCAAAATGCTTTGCATGTATTATCTCATTTGAACTTAACAACAACGCAGGGAGCTAAGTGCTGTTGTTTTCCTTATTTTATACAAGTGGAAACTGAAGTTGAAAGAGGTTAAATATTTTGTCCAGGGTCACACAGCTAGTAAGTGTCTGAGGCGGGGACTAAACTTGGGTCTTTCTGATTCTAGTATTCAATCTGCTGTGAAGGAGTGTGTTCCATAGTCAAAGTGTGGAAGCAGGAGAAAGTGTCTCGTGTTATTGGAAGACCATTTTGTGGTCCTTATTTGATAGCAATGGGAGTTGTTTGAATAATAAGAATGAGATGAGATTGCAAAGAGTCTACAATGCCAATCTCAGGAATTCAGTCTTGATCGGAGTAGGAAAATGGGAGCCATTGAATGTTCTTGAGCAGGAGAGCGATGTGATAAAAGTAGTGTTTAGATAAAATCTGTCTGGTAGTGGTGTTTATTCAACATTTGAGACCTCCGTAGTATCTAATAGAGCCCTTTACACATATTAAAGTGCTTAGTAAAGGTTTGTTAGACTGAAATGACTTCTCTGAATGACCACTTGTTGCTAAAATTGATAGGTGGGTCAAGTTTTTTTTTTAATACCTTACTTTAATACTTCCTGCATTGCCGGCTTTCCTGCTTTCTTCTCTCTCCTAAGCCTGACCTTATCATTGGTCTAAAGGGGAACCCAAATCAGGGAGAGTAGATAAATTAGTGTAAAGCCACCCACGCTGATTAAAAAAAAAAACTGTTTATGTCCTATGGAAGAGGAGTAGTATCTCATCAGGTAGGAAAAAACCCAGGGTTAGTGGTCCAAAGCTTATGGGCAAGACTTTGGCAGTAACTTAACAGTAGAACTCTTTGTAGCTTATGCTCCACTTCTTTAGGACATCATTCTCAAAGTGATATAGTTGGAAGGGACCCGGAAGGTCATCTAATACAATCCCTCATCCAAGTGGAGTCATCCATTATAACAATCTTGACAGTCAACCAGTCTGGGCTTGAACATTTCCAGTGACTAGGAGTTTACTACCTTACACGTCAGCCTTTTCCTTTGTTCTACGACTTGAAAAGGATGTTTCTCCTCCTAATGAACCAAAATCTTCCTCTTTACAAAAAGTCTGCCTACTGTTTCTAGTTCTGACTTCTGGAGCCACACAGAAGACTTTTGGCAATGTTAGCATTCCAGATGTATTAAACAGCTCTTGTCTCTTTCCCCCTGCCCCTTAGTCTTCTCCTGAAGAAGCCCTGACTAGCTTTGGTTTCTTCAATTTTTTTTTTTAACATGACGTGGCTTCTAGACCTTTAGCTGTCCCATTTGCTTTCCTGTGGATATGTTCCCATTTGTAAATTTCCCTCTTTAAGTGTGGGACCCAGAATTCTAATCTCAGTACTCTAGATATGGTTGGACCAGAAAGGAATATGGCCTTTCTTGTTCTCGATGTTCTCCAAAGATGGGTATCCCATATTTTTCAATGCAGAGAAATAGGATAAACAAAAACACTCTTCCTTGTTTTATATGTAAATGATGCCTGTAGGAGAGAAGAATCAAGAACATATCCAAGAGGAGATCACTTTACCTTACTTTTTCTTTCTCTTCCTTTCTAGGTACATTTTATAAACCCAGAGACCGTGCCGAAGCCTTGCTGTGCTCCAACCCAACTCAATGCCATCTCCGTTCTCTATTTTGATGATAGCTCCAATGTCATTCTAAAAAAATACAGGAATATGGTTGTCCGGGCCTGTGGTTGTCATTAGGTTTGCCTCAGTTTAGCCTCAGGTTTCAGATCTTCTTGTGCTGCAGAAGGAACTCCGTTCTGGATCATTTGGCAAAGAGCTGGAGCCTTCCACAACACATCCTTTTAAAAGGAGCCACACTGTGCTGCCATTTTCAAGGGTGTGGTGTTTGCGTGTATATGTGTGTGTATGTGTGTGTGCGTGCGCGTAAAAGGTGCAGGGATGATTGAGCAAAATCTCAAGAGCAAGATGCTGCAAGTTGGCACAAGAAAAACAAAGCAGAAACAGTTTTACCGAAAACCTGGCCACAGCGATTGGCTTCTAAGTCTCAATCCAAAGATTACTCACTCTCTGAGGGTAATTATGAGCACCCCTTCATCGAGGCCACCCAGCAGGGTAGGGGTGTGTATGTCTGTGTGTGTGCTTGTGTGCACGTCTATATGTGCTTAGTAAGAATGACTTGGAAGTTCCTGTAATAAAAGTCACAATAAAACGAATGAATGAAAAATGGTTAGGATGTTAGATACATTTCCTAAACAATTTATCCCAATTCCTTTATTTACCCCAACTTCATAAACAGAAGCTGTGGCTGGGTATCAGAGGGCCCTGAAATCCCAGAAAGGTCTCTGCATTTGACTCACAAGAACAGAAAACATGTATGGGTTTATTCACTCAAAACACAAGTAGGTAGAGGGGAAAATAAATTTCCACTCTGGGGGATGTGTTGACGTTGATTGGAGAAGGAAAAATCCAAAGTAAATAAATTCCAAAGGACGTGTTCACTCTCTGTATTTGTGTTGTGTGTGCCAGAGATTAAATAGGCATGTTAAATACCGGCAGAAATCTGATTTGCTATTGTGGGGGAAAACTAAGTCTGAAATCAAGGGGAGCCAGGGAGACAAGAGGCAAATCATGTCTGTGATTCTGAACCTTGGGTGTTACACTGGCTTTGTAATGTTTGAACTAACAAAATCAGGAGCTCTGAGAAGCCACTACCAGGTCCCTATAGCATTGGCCTCTGAGCTGCCTTTTTGAGTTATCAAGTTTTTGAGATTTAGAAAATTGTTTCAGAACTTGGGGTCCGGTAAAGGCCCTTGTGAGCATCATGCATCTCAGACCTCAGAGAAGCAACTTCCATTATGTGTTGTATGCAAATTACCTAAACATGAGGTTCTAGTGACAGACATTAGGAACCCATCTCTGCGAAGGACTTGATTTGAAAATGTCTCAGATGTTTGAATATAGTTAGTTTATGCTTAAAACAATCTCTAACCTGTAAACTAGATTCAAAGTTAACCTGCCAGGCTTCCCTTTGCATTTGAAGATGGAAAGGCATACCCATTAAACATGGCTTTGTGAGCGTGGTATGCTATCCTGAAGTCAGAAACTCAAGGCCATGCTTTCGTTGATCAGTCTTTGACTGTTTCTTCTGATTAGTTTCTCGATGCTAAGGGACCAAGGGAGGGGGGGTGAGTCGGTGCCTTTTTAAACCTTCAGAGTGATGATTCAAATCTGTACCATGCGCCTTATTAAAACTGTTTTGAGCCAACTTGCAAAATATTAAGACTTTATCTGATGGTTCCTATATCCCAAGTAGTGAGAACAAAGGACAAGTTTATCACAGATTGAGTCATGTGGGGACATTGAAAAATAAATACTTATTTCAAGAGTGAAAAAACTTTTGTGAATCCCTCAGCTAAAGTGGCTTCCAGGAATATTGGGCTTCCCGTCGCCTGCTGCTTCCCAGTAGGTCAGACTGTGATATTTCATCAGCTGGGGGCAGAATATTCTGTTTAGACTGAGCTGAGGACTTTAGGGTCATAGTATGTTGGCTCTAGGCATAAGCAGTCCCATAGTCAGTACTGTCTCAGTCCTTTACCCAGACCAGGCTCCTGTGGCTGCTGGGTTAGCTTACTTGTTTGTTTGTACATTTTAAGTGTAAATAGTTGTCACAACAGAAAAATTATTTATTTCCATCCCAGTTTCCTCTTTAATCACTTGTTCAGGAAAATGATTTTCATCTCTTTAAACATTTTTTGTTTCCTTATTTAAGAAAATATTTATTTTAACAGTTGGACAGATATGTACACTTCTGTTTTTTTTCTCTCCTTCCAATAGAGCAGTCCTTAGAGAAAATTTTGTACAAAAATAGAAAAATAAAGCATTTTGACTTTTTACTGCAAAGAAGCTTGGTTTGTGATCATTTTCCCTCTAAACTTGGCCTTTGGGCTTAGGAGGTAGATGATGTGGAAGAGAGTGGTATTGGTCACCAAATAACATGGTGACCTTAACCTTTTTTGTGTGACATATCCTTTTGTCAGTCTGAAGAAGCCTATAGACCCCTTCTCAGAATGTTTTAAAATACATTTCATGAAATACATAGGATTACAAAGGAAACCATATTTCAAAATAATTATGAAAATGATTTTTAAAAATCTGTGACCAAAATAAGGTGTGGTGCAAGGAGCACTAGATTGAGTCAGAAGACTCAAAGCATGGATTTCCCATTTGGGCAAGTCATTTAACCTCAGTTTTCTCATTTGTAAAATGGGAATTATGGTATTTGCAGATACCTGCCTGATGAATTTTTGAGGCTTCAATATTTGAACTCTTCCTATAAAATGCTAT